GGGAACGTTACTGACGAACAGTACCTGCCTAACTTTGGCTTTGAGAGTTTCGTAATCAGGGGTATAGTAATCTACCTATCTGCTGGCAAGTCTTGCTCTCGGATCGTCGCGATTTATCCCCACCCCCACTTCATAAAAACTGCTAACCCCCGGTAAGTTTCCCAAAGCGATCATGCCTAGCATTAATGTGCTTTTCGGAGGTGCAGCCTGTTTACAGCGCTGCAACCTGCTTCAAACATGTCGTTGTCATGAGGTTCATGGCATTGCTTTGACTTCCTGCCGGATTTCCTAGCGATTTTTTTATTTTTATTATTTTTTCCTCGTAGGCATACTTATGACCAAACAGATGATAAATATCAAAAACTGCTGGAATGGTGAGCTTTTCAACTCTTATGTAGAGTAAAACCACCGTTTGCATAGTCGTGGTCACTGTCGTTTTTCCTTTTATTAGAGGTTTCATCTTCTTATGTGTATTTTGCTGGTGATTACATGGGGGGGGGGAGGGCTGTTTGCATTCCTAACCACTGTCACCAATTGTGCAATTCATAGTTTTTGACAACTATTCATTCAGCGAAAGGATTCAGTGGGGAATTCAGCGCGAGGGGCATTTTGGCCTATTACAGAAACCAGTACAGCTCATTCAATTTTTCGCCATATTCATGCAACTATGTTCATGAAATGTCCAACTTTGGCTCCTTTGTTTGTTTGAGCAGGCGTCCCACTATGGGATTGCATGTTGCTGCTTTGCAACTTGCCATTGACACTGCAATTTTAGAGTTGGGGAAACTTTGATTAGGACCTCCAAGATAGTCTTTCCTTCGTGAAAGCTTTTTCAGTTTCTATTATACTTGAGTATTTATTTGTTGCCAAGTTTCATGTTCCGATCTTCTATTATTGCAACTCTGCACTCAACTGATGAATACACTACTGAATCATAGATTTCGACTTTTTGTATGAAATTCGTTGGAAAGCCCTGTTTTGGACCAAACATTTCACTCAGCGTGTCTAGCTTAGTAACGCCTATGTTCCTGCAAAGTTTGAGCTTGAAGTTTCCAACAAACTTTTTTTAGATAAGTATATCAAGTTATTCAAGCTCTTCTTATCTCCGTGAACAATGGGCAGTGAGTGTTTTAGTCCCCTTCTTCCGACTTCAAATTTATAAACTCGCAGCAAAAGTAACAAAATGTCAAGAGCTTTGTGCTTACGCTAAATCAGCCAGTGCTTCCAAAATCTTTACTTTAGTATAGTGAAGTATCTTGAGTGTTCTTCTTTTATTTTCTATAACTTTTACGAAAGATAGTGGACTTACAATTACATCATTGACGGCAATTAATCCGCCTTACTTTTACAAGAAGGACGTAAACGTGTGAATGTTTACAACTTAAAGGCAAATAAATATTATGAAGTATCATATCGGTATTGACCAACTGTTTTTTTTTCGGAACGTTAATTATCTGAATAACTAGCTTGCTTATCTGGCTCCGCTCGGCCCTGTCAAAACACTGTGATAAAGGACCCGATCCTATCCCTGAACCTTTCCCTGTGCCCACTTCTACACTTCATTTCCCGTTCACTGTGTTGTTTTCGAAATCAGCATGCCCACTTACCCCCTGTGCCTACTCCCAGCCCTTCAGCTCAAATTTTGGAAAAATCGATGAAATCAATAAAAGTAATAAGTAATACCAAAACTGATACTGTATCCGTAATCAGCATGCTCGATTACCCCCCTCCCCGTGCCAACTCCCAGCCCTGTAGGTAAACTCTGGAAAAAATTGATAAAAATTGATAAAATCGATATCATCGATAATGAAAAGTAGCCTTGTTCAGGACACCCGCCCCGCCCCGAAGTGGTGTATGTGTGCCGAATTTGATCCAAATCGGTTCAGAAATAAAAATTTCTATTCGCACATACGTACAGACATACATACATGTAGACAAACAGATATTCAGCAATCAGTGGCGTACCGAGGGGGGGGGCGGGGGGGGGGGGCGCGCGCCCCCCCCCCCCCCCCCGAGAACGGGTCGCGAAATTTTTGAAAGTTACTTACATGCGTTATAAAAATGTGCAAATGACTTGTTTATTGTAAACAATTAAAATAATTTTTTAAATTTTTTTAAAAATTCAAATTAGCCTTATAAAAAATTTTTCGGGGGCGTGGCGGGCCCGCAAAATTGTTGAGAAGCCCCCCCTAAAAATTCTTCGGAGTGCGTGGCTGACGCCACGCACCTTCATTTGAAAATTTTTTTTGCCGCGCCCCCCCCCCCCCCCCCCCCCCCCCCCCCCCCACCCCCCCCCCCCCCCCCCCCCCCCCGAGCCGAAATCCTGGGTACGCCACTGTCAGCTATATATATATGAAATGGAGTATGGGAAGCGTACGTATGGCAATACGCTCCTAGCAGTCACTAAACATTCATGGAAGCACTGACTTGCAACAAACATCTTCTGAGGGTGTAGGAGAAAGTGGGTTAGCTGAATCTGATGCTGTCACTTGTTATACTTTGTGCTCTTACTTCAAAACTAAGGAGACTACTGACGCGATGGCTAGAAAAGTCAATCTGAGGCGTTTTTGACCTGTTACTTATATCAATCCTAGCTAAAGTTGTAATTTTCAGGTGCATAGTTTTTGGTGCAGTTAGTAGCTGAACTATTTGCCAATGTGTGCAACTGCATATCACAAAAAAGATCGGTTACGGGGCCTGTGTGTTGTTTTTGCGTGCTTCTTTGAATGATTCTCTTTGTTTTCTGCTTTTTTTTGCAGGTTCATGTGCTAGAAGTAGCTGATTGCAAAAGCGATGATGAGCAGGTCTTGTTTTCAGCTAGATGATATCGAGAACACAAGCTCATTTTGTTTCATTTTTCTGCTTCTGAACTAAGCATCATTTATATTTTGGTGACGAAATTAATGGCTTTATTTCAAGCAAATCACTCTAAGCAACTCTTAAGCAGTTTCCGGAGCGATTTCCTCGTTTCGGAATAGACCTCTTGCAGCCTACTTGAGCAAATTACTTAGTTGCGAACCTCGCTATTATATTGCATAAAAAATCTCACCAATCTCGATTTGGATGGATGCTGCCTTTAAGTTCTTCTGCTAATTTCACGTACATAATCGTAGAAGATGGCACTCTTCAGCTATTCCAGCCACTGTTTCGTGTTTGTGCGTAGGCGTTACATTTACTAGCTTCTTCTCAACTAAAATCAATGTTTGTGAGAGTATTGTTATAGATTTCCCAGTAATACATTCTGACCAATTTTTCCTATGGAAGTCGCCCAAGCTAACATTTGAGCGGGGCAATTTCGAATGGTCTAATAAAAGCGCGTAAGTGACATTAATTTCCAAATTGGGGCGGCTGCCAACTCGTCCAACTTTTCCAGGAAGTGGAAGAAGAAGTATGAGGAAAGATGTACTGTTCTTCCATTCAGCTGTTTTGTGTGTAAGCTGTCTCTCCCTAATGGTTTTGTTTAACTCGTCCAATAATATCCCCTATTCAGGAGGCATGGCCAGTTTCAAACCCGGTACAAGAATTGAGCATCTCAGAAAGTGAGTTTTCTTTGTAATTTTTCTATCTACTTTCTTTGTATTTTTTGTTCTATATGGTCGGCTCTTGAGTTGCAGTGAATTATGATTTTTTTCAATTTTTGCAGTCTCCCCAATCTTCGTGTTATTCTCGTAAACTCGAAAGTTGAGCGAAATACGTCTCGAATGGTGCAAACAGTCAAGGAACGTCTGAAAAAAATAAGAAATTTGACATCTTGGTTATAGTTAACAACCTCTTCCATTTTTGGTGCTTCACTTCGGTTTTTGCTTGCTATTATTTAATTGACCCACTTTTTGCAACCAAAGGAAAAAGAATCTGCGCCTGGGTCTTTCTGACAAAAAGTGGTGGTTTGCAAACTTTATTCTTTGCAATTTTGTTGTAATAAACCTCTGTCAAGCATAATAAAATACAAATTTTTCATACTTTTTCATATTTGAAAAGTACGCTCAGCACTTCTTTTTTACATTCTAACCTTGCCTCTCTTTCACTTTCTTTTCATTGTCAAAAAAACGCCTACCAGGAAATTTTTCAAAATGTATCTCAATATGTGGACTCTTTCAGATCTTACAGATTCTTTCTATTGATAGTGATCTCTCATTTTTGAGTAGGGAGACAGTACAAAGAATTGTGGTGAGCATATTGTATTGTAATTGAGCCGCCCGAAGAAAATGGTGAAACGTTGGATAAATTGGAAAATGGCATGGCACAACCGTACCCGATAACGATCATCACTCATTGCAGGTAATTTTGCGCCACTTGGTGAATAGTCACCGCGTCCGTCGCATTTCTGCGCCTCCTCAGATCCTAATGCTTTTGTACTCGTGTACCTTTTGTGTCGTAAAGTGCATATTTCGATTTAGGTAATGAAGTACAACTGTTTGAAAAATTTAGCTTGAACAAAAAATTCAGCAACGATGGCCATATTCAACTTTTAATCGTTTATTTAGACTGGAAGACACTGGCTCGGCAAAGTGGACGTTTTTTACATCTTGATGGTGCTAGATAGTAAATCACCTTCCCTCCCTCTCCCCCCAACCTCGGCTTTCATTTTGTGCGTCAAGTCCTTGGAACGCCCTCAAAATCCAACTTGCCCCACCCACGTTGAGTGGGCGTAAATGGTGAGCTTTTTGGAGCGTGTTTGCAAGAATTGGCGCATGTATCGAAGATTGGGGTTTGGACAGCGGTGCACTTGGAGAGTCCACTACTGTATACCCAAATTTTGACGAGGTTCATCTTGCCGATCTACTGCCTTCAACGTGAAAAAACAGCGGTAAGAATTACCTTTCTCCCATCCTTGCACTTGATAGTACACTTTTCGAATTTTTGCTGACGAAACCAGTTACCTGAAGAGATTTTCACAAGATACTCAACCAATAGCATGCAGAGTGTCCTCGTTGGCATAGCCGCGCCCTCACCAAATAGCTTGGTCGATCCTGGGCATATCAGTGTATAGATGTCCAAGAATGTTCGATGTGTGGGCGACCTCTCGAGCAGCAGGTTCTCAGGCCTTCACCGAGAGCTGGTCCAGCTCGGATAGAGATCATGCTGTGAGTGGTTGACAATTTGAAAGTCTACGTTCCTCTCACATAGAACGTTCTATAACCAGACAGCTGCTTTCTGTTCTCGCTCACTCACCCCGGACGCCCTTACAATTAGCAAGCAGCTGGCTGCCGCTCTCTGATCTTCACATCTTCACAGTACACGGCGCCTCTGAGATCTGAGAAGCTTAAAGCTCGTTTCGCGTCGTGAAGCGTGTCGTTCCGTGATTTCAGCCGCATCATGGAGGAAGCGTGCGTTCGTCGACGTTCTCCTCGTACGTGGCCGGCGGCAAACGGGGCAGCTCGGCTTCGGCCGTCTCCGCGACATCCGACAAAGGAGAACTCGTCGACACGTTCAGCAAGCTTAACGTAAGTGGTCGTCCTGCACGGATCACTCCGTTCTCCGTTTCATTTTACGCTGTTGCCGGGAGTGAATTCTGCCGCCTGCACATTCCTCCCTCAGTCGCTTACTGACATTGATAGATTAGAGCATTTCGTCTTTCTGACAGTCTTTTAGCGGGTTTGATGGGCAAGTCTGCATATTTTTTCAGTAGATTTGCATTCAACCTTGTAGAATTGCTTTAAGTGAGTGCTCACGCTTTGTAGATTTAGAAAAACCTTCTTTAATCAGGTTGGCACATAAGTTTTGCAACTTTTTTCATAATTTTGTTAGTTTGAACGTGGTGCTTTCATTTTTCGCTATTATGATGTCTAACATGTGATTAACGAATGCAATCATTCCTGGCGAATTTCGTCATCGTTTGAGAGTCACGGTAAGGCAATTAAAGAAGAGGGAATTGTCACAGATTTGGATGGATCGTGTTCTAAGGGGGGGATTTACGACATCCTGATCAAAGAATGATATTCATTTTGAGTGGAAGACTTATTTTGCTGCGGAATGCTGAGTTACCGAGAATCACTGGGCTAATTTTTGACCTCGGCAACAACTTAATATGGCATTCGTGTTCAATATGTCAAATTACCCCACTATGCAGTGTTTCGCCAAAATCCGACGGATTTTGGCGAAACATGTTATTTTAACGAAGACATATAGAAAAAGAACTGATCAAATTCAGCCGGAAGTGCAGGCAAAATGTTCTCAATGGGTGGCTTCTGAGTCCAGCAAAAAAATTTGTAAGTTTTATTCATGTCGAAATTTGGTAATCTCGTGAAATCGAACGAGTCAAACGCGTCAAAGTCGCCTTTGCCAAAAAATGTAAAACCTCGTTTGATCGCATTCAAGAAAATCTATAGATTTTTTTCCATTTTGTTACCAACGTTTCCACGTTTTCATAAGCCTAGTTCTAAATCTGCAGAATGCCAAATTTTGAATGTGCCTCATTCAAAGAGAAAAAAATTATGAACAGAGTTGCAAAACTCATGTGCCAACTTAATACAAGAGGAGCTTATGGATGTGTTGAAATCATATGTGCTTTACAGTCTAGTAAGGGTAAAATTCTAATTTTTGATTAATGACTGCTGAAAAGGGGAATCGGGAATATGCGCGCTTAAAGAATTGGCTGCCGAAGTCGGAGGGGTGAATACATCCTGACAACAGTCGGCTGGTTGACTCTGACAGTTCCAAGTTGTTTGCTCCGAGATCGATTCCCTTCCAGCAGTGTTGAGGGCCAAAAATGCGAAAATAATGACATTCTGACATCTTTCAAAGCATGTTTGTTAGCATCAGCACGCTAGTGGTCTCGAACTCTCTTTTTTTTGAACGTTCGTTTCCAGCCCAAAGTTCTAGTGACAGCCGAAATTTTTTTCTCAAGAAATTTGACCGGTGGCTTTTCCTGTAATGCTAACTGTCTTCATTTGGATGCACCGCAAACGCTGTTGGATATGATTACTGGAGAGTTGATCAAGCTCGGATACGAAGCATGGCAACCTCCACTTGGTGATCCTGGAGTCGTTGAACATCAACGAAGGCCAGATCTGTTCTCAACGCCAACTCCGTCGACGACATGCTCGACGCCGGCATCCAAACACAAGTAGTGGTGATCACTTAGGCTATACCCCTATCTTCGACACCCAGTCATCTATCCTTGTGTTTTATGTAGTTTATACCCAAAGTTGTGCTGTGTTTCTCTTGTTCCCATCGGCAAGCGATAGTCTCGGTGGCGCCGATCAACTCGCGCAATTCCTCTTTACATGCGTTCCAACCCGGGAAATCAATTATGTCTTCCAGTTATAACTTTGTTGTTGTATTGATATATTATAAATATATGTATTTTGGGAATTTCTCAGCGAGTCTTCATTGTATTCCTTTCTTGGGCAATATCTGTTCTAGATCAGTTAGAACTGGAGTAGTGGGATGTTGTACATTTAAATTCGACGCTCGAATGTTTGAAGCGAATTGTTGTCCTGGCAATCCTCAGGGGCATCAGTTGGACTATGCACAATTCCCTCAAACAGTTGACATCACTTCCGTTTTGGTTTCCCTCATTTTCGTTCCGTTTGTTATTCATTAGCATGTGTCGGTCAATCCGAATCAATATGCATTGGTGCACGCCGAATTTCTTCCGCAATATCCAGTCCATGTTTACTCGAAAAATATTTAGCACTGTTCTCACTGATTTATGTTAATTACTCGCCAGAAGAAATATGTTTAAGAGGAGATACATAGGTCATATATTGCCCTTTTTTTGTTGATATATTTTATTTGATTGATGTCATGATTGAATTTTGATTTGTTCGTTTTGAACGAGTTTTTACGAGAAGTTCTATGAAAAGTTTTATGTTGTAATAATCTATAGAATTATTTTTTTAATTTTGGAGTGAAATTTTTATAAAAAATCAATAATAAAGGAATCAAAAATTGCCTAAGCCAGTGTATCGAACTAGCTTGGTTTCTTGCTGTAGGATATGACACGGAGTTTGGACGTAACTTTTGTTTCGAAATTATGTTAAATTAAACTTGGGGGGGGGGGGGATTCATGTTGTTACTGCTGCTAGACTATAATACTATGATAAAAACTCCAACTACAACTACCAACTTACACTTGTACTAGTTTATGAACTATAGTAACTTCTATTCATTACTCATCTTCCACAAGACCTGTGAAAAAATGAACGGTCATCCTAGAGTTTTAAAATCTTATGTGTCCTAATACCGGTTTCCCAATTTGTTGGTTTCTAGACCAGCACGAAACCAACTGAGTTTTTTCGGAACATAAATTTCGAAGACTTCACATAAGTTTTGGATTCTTTTTTGATTTGGACAATTGGAACGCTCAAACATCTATCATATAGCGAAGAGAGCAAATCACCATTGCTTCTCCTTGGGTAGAGGAACGAACACCTCAATTGGGCACCGCCTGCGCGGGCTGCTGGTCCCTTCGTCCTACTGTTGTGCCTCGTGTTAGGACTACTAGTCCGCGGAGGCGGTGCCTTATTGAGATGTTCGTTCCTCCACCCCTTCTCCTTTGTAACCCAAAATAGTGCAAACCTACGCATTGATAGATATCGCGCTCCAATCACATGCTGTGTGCTTTGAACTGCGCGGCGAAAAATGCATCACCAACTTGTTGAGGCCACTGTTTTGTTAAGGGGTTTTCAACATTCTGAACAATAAAATGGTAGCCGACTCAATGATGAAGCTTCAATCAACTCAGGATAATTTTTTGCTTTTTTGTTATATTAGATACCCCTAAACTTTTTTCGCTTTCTTATTCTTATGTTGATTGAATGAGGGTTTAACCACTGACTTTTAAGTCAAAAGGGAATTCCTGAATCTTCGCGAATTTGTGAAAGAATTCGTTTCCAGAAATTCTTCAAACCAACACCTGCTTGGCCCTGGCCACAAAACTTGTAAGAAGCATATAGACGCATTGTTGGATCGAACTCCATCCCAGTAGATTCGTCAAATCACTGCTAAAATTCATATCAACGATCACATTTGTAATTTCATAATCCCTGACGACTCGTATGTACAACATCACCATCGAGTAAGCTGATAAGTTAGGATTCGTCAACTTGTGTAATTCAGTTGAGGTTCTTATCATGCGTCAAAAGCAAATCAATGTGAATGTAGTAGTCAGCCAATCATCTAAGCACAAATATTGAGAAAGTGGTGAAAACTTGCTGCCTACCGTAGCCCGAAAGACTGCTGCGCTGCATCTGATTGAACAAAAGTTACTGAGAGTTCTTGGTAGCATTCGATGCAGGTTTTCATCTTCTTTCTAAAAATTCTGAATTGCACCACAGTCAGTGAGCTCTTGGAAAATTACCAAAATCCGCGATCCATGCTTTTCGAGATGCTGAAGTTTCACAATTTTTCCAAATTTTTACATCAATTCTCTGAAGGAGTTTAAGTACGATTCGATAGAGTGAACCTCATAGGAAATGGCGTACTTTTTTTTGTTTATATATCTCGTCATAATTTCTTTGAAAAACCATCGAATTTTGAGAGGCCTACGACAGCCATTTGCATCAAACACAATAAATCTTCGGAATCTAGAACTTCCAAGATGGCCTCATGGTAACGCTAATTTTACAAAGCGAATGAGGGTTTAAGGAATCGGAATAACTAATTTCAATTCTTGGGTACAGCACGGCACGCCTTGAAAATATGAATTACGTGGTTTTGTATCCGAAGACACCACGAAGAAAAACAAAAAAGATCCATTAGAAAGTGGAGAACAAGCTGCATCAAATGACATCCGAGCTGCTCACCGTTTGATGTTCTACGAAGTTTGAATTGACTAAGAATGGAAATTGGTAGCATCTATTGAAATCCTAGCTCAAGTCCCGTTGCAAAAGCTCATGGCCAGAGTAGGCTAATCTGCTACACGGTTAGCCTACTCTGACCATGAGCTCTTGCAACGGGACTTAATTCCCTTATCTTCCTTTCCGCGAAACGAAAGTCTACCTCCGCAAGTGAGAAGTTGTTTGATGAGTGATGATATTCCACTCCTATCGTAAAGCGCCAGATTTCGATAAATCGGAAGGACCCAGCTCAAGGGATTGCCCCGAAAGGTAGCCTAGATTCTCCGGCGGGGTTGAAAACATTGGGGCAAAGTTTTAGCCCAATCGCCAGCTGCAAGAGATAGACAGTAATATCAAGCGCGCACTCAGATGTGTAAGCAGGCATGATGCACAAACTTGAACTTTTTGATCATGACTTGACCAACCAGCAAAACTTTTCGTTGGTAGCATAATTCAAACTTCCAGGCATTTTTTTGCGGAGTGTCACACTAAGGGCCGCATGCACTAACATCCCGGCGGGGAGGGGATCGCAGCTTAAAAGACAGCTTCATATTTCGAAACTCCGGATACCTGGATTGCAGTTGTGTACCTAGCCGTAAGTATTCCTACTACCTTTCACCATGAACATGTTGAATAAGAACGAGAACCTGTACGAACCGCATTTTCCAGCTTTTGTATGATCCCTGATAATCCCCGGCGCTTTTCTTTGAAGTCATTTTTTCTTTCTCCAAAGTTAACGAGAAACCTCCAAAGTTGTGCAGATTATCCAACCCGACAGTGCTAAGCATGTTCCTGATAAGAACAAATAATTTTGAAGTCATGAAATTTTCGATAATCCACAGGTCGAAATTTAAGGTTTACCGAAAAATTCGACTTTTCAAAAACTCATTTGTTCTCATCAGCAACATGCTTAGCACTGTTGTGTTAGATGTTCAGTACAGCTTTGGAAAGTTTTCGTTAACTTCGGAGAAAGAAAAATGACTTTATAGAAAAGCGCCGGGGATCATCAGGCATCATACAAAAGCTGGAAAATCGGTTCGTACCGCTTCTCGCTCTTCTTCAACATGTTCATAGTGAAGGGTAGTAGGAATACTTACGGATAGGTACACAATGTGAAATCCAGGTATCTGGAGTTTCGAAATATAAAGCTTTCTTTTGAGCTGCGATCCCTTCCCCAGAGGGATGTTAGCGCATGCAGCCCTTATAATCTTACCGATTGTGCCTCCACTTATTTTTCTTGTTTTCGGTTAGATATTTCGACTGTTTCGGCATGAAAGGGTGGTTTCGAAAACAGTCATAACTTTTTTGAGAACATCGTTACAAATAGTGATTCTAGAATTGAGGTAGCGCCAAATTCGGAGATAGGATTATACTAGGTCAGGGCCCGGCGCGAGTCGTCCGTTTCCAGGCTTTTTAAGAACGGAGTCCCCCTGACTTTCGGAAATTTTACGAAGTCCCCTTTGACCCTTGCCCCCCGTTCGTTGAGTTGAATTCTTGCTGCCCTGCTGACTCGATTACAAACTTTGTATTTGAACAAAAAACGATCTGTTTCTCTCTGGAATCGCTTACTTCATTGCAAATAAAATATATGAGAGAAATCAAAAGGCGCAACTGCTGGCATGCAAAAAAAAACATTCGTTCGGTAAGATTAGTAGAATGCTGCATAAATATGCTAGCGATGTACTCATAGATGTAGTCGACGTTGCTCTGTTTGGGATTCTCATTGTTGAGAGGCACAGTGATCAGAAATTCACACGCTTTTAATAGCCTACATACTTCGGCACAGTAAGTCAACCCTGCAAGAAAAATCTTCAACCGCTAGAATAAAATGGCCTCATAAGTTTCATTACTGCTTTGCAACACATAATCAATGGAGAATAAAAATCAGCACTAGATTAGAAAAAAAGTGACAAAAAGCGACCAAGGGACTGAAGCGGTGTTCATGATCTTCATTTTGAACAACATAATCAAAAAGAGATGGGAAATGAAAGGACCCAGCAGCTACATGGACCTGACTGCTATCCGCAACACTGCTAGAACATGTTGAAGAATTTGCATGTAAAATCGTTAATAGAATGGCTGTGACTGATCACATGGAAGATGTTCTACTTGATCTAGCTGATTCTTCAGAATGTTGAGACCTGCAAAATGCAGATTTTCGAAATTGGAAACCTAAAGCAAATCAATTAAACTTACCAATTTCAGCAACGTTGCGCATCAAATGCTGGAGTGCTCACACAACAGCATCAATGATGTAACTGATTTGTTCCTAGGGCAACGCGAGGAAAACCGGGAAATATTCCACAGTGAGCGCATGAATAAGTTGGAAGAAGTTAGTGCGATGCTCTGGGAACGCCTATAAATGAAAAAATCACTGAAAAGAAAAAAGAAGGGATTACAAGATTCCTAAGAGCACTATATACGTACTTCCATGTCTTTGTTGATCATCTCTAGCGTGCATTCAAAAACAGCGCAAGTATTTGAGGCGCTTGTGATGATAACATTGACTGAAAAGGCATCATCAAGCCATATTTGATGGATGCATATGTTTCAACAAAAACAACTTATTCCAAGTTTCGTCCTATAATACTGAGTAGTGGTAGCACTTTCGGTTCCTTAGCCGCAGGTACATTTTTCTGATAATCAAAAAGTACACCATCATACATTGGAGGTACTATCTTCTCCAAGACCATCTGTTAAATTTCAATAATACTAGGCGGAAAAACTTGAGCCCAACAATCTAGGAAGTAATGCTACTAATGCAGTCAGTCATAATAAAGAAATAATTTTTGAGAAAAGGCCGTCACTCCCGAACAATTTACCTGTAAAAACACGTTCTCTTAAACCCAGTTTGAGTCCGTGTACTTTGAGCCTTATTCTACGGGGAATACGCGATGACATAGAAATTTATGAAGATGTTTGAAACTAAACACATGTCAGCAATCAAAAAAAAAGATGATCAAGCAAAACCTAGCGGTCATACCTCCAGTTCTTGACAGCAGACCAATCCCTATTCAAACCTTTGACAATGACTGGCTCTTGCCTAGGGTACTGATCGAAAAAGTCCCATTTGGAAAGCTCATCGAGAACAGGTATTGGTACAAAATTTGGCAACATTCTCACAGCGATAGTGACTTATAACAGCATGATATCCATTTTAATCAAACTGACAAGGGAGGTCCAATTAGTCGAAGTGGTCTTTCCAAATGAGTCATATACCATTTTAGTAGAGCTTCAAATGCTGATTCCGAATCCGTCTTCGTTATCTGCCGAGCGCCTCTGAACGCCGAGTTATGAGCGTTTTTTGGCTTAGAAAACTGAATGCGTAATTGGAACAAAATTCGTCAAAATTGTTTAAATGGTCCAATTTTCGATTATCAAAGCATTCCATTCAAAGAACACCTTCTGTCCAAAACACTTATACTACATACTGCTCTATTTGAGCGGTGAAAGTTCGTAACAGTTGTGTTCATTTCTCGCTCCAAAAAACAATCATAACTAAGCACGCAGAGGCGCTCGTCAGATAATGAAATCAGATTCGGAATCAGCGTTTAACGCTCTTCAGAACGATATATGACTCATTCAAGAAGGCCACTTCGACTAATCGGACTTCCCTTTTGAGTCCAAAACGAACCTCGTTCTTGTGAATGGCGGGAGGCACCGAAAGATGGCGATCACAAAATTGTGCATAACGTTGAAGAAGCTGTTCAGGTACGCCATCCCCCATGAGCGATCCAAGATCAACGGCAGTATGGCATGCTAAACTGACTACTGAATTACACTGTTCATCCGCATCCAATACGATAAACAGCTTTTCATTTCGCTTGTTAGACAGCATTGCCATGATTATTTGAGAAGACCAAAGGAAGCATGAAAAGCGATCATAGCAATAGCAGATATGGTTGGCTACAAAAAGCGTAATAGAAATGCGCCAAACCGAAAACTGATTTGACTGTGAGTTCTCTAACAGATTTGACAGCTATTTTGCTCCTCGCAAGATCTCAATTTCTTCGTGGAACTGTGATATATGCGGTATCTATGGCTGACCCAAACTCGCCAAATAAGCTGTTTATGATGCCTTGACCTTGATCAACATCCTCAATGCCCTACTATGAAAAAGTCTTAACAAACATTATTTGATCCACCTACCAGATACCCAACCCAACCCAATCTAACTCGAAAAGACAACATTCTGCAGAGTGCCGATTCAACATCCTCAGACCGAATAATTGAGGAATAAAATCAGTCACCATTGACGTTACTGTCATACTATTAGCTGAGGTTTCAGGCACCGCTATATAATTCCTTCATAACTTCATAAGCTGAGCAGGTAATTTTAGCACCATAACTGAAAATGAATAATAAAGGCAAATGCACAATACGAAGACACCAGCCAGATAACCAGCAAGACAAACAGCTTTCATCAAAGAAATGAGAGCATACAGCTTTCTCCAGCACAAGTCCACTTCGAAAAAGTGTCCTGAAAAGCGAAACTATGGTATCTTGCAAGTAGGGAAAACCTCATACCAGATTAGCCTAGAAGTCGAAAAAAACCCAGAATACTCATTATGATAACTCTTCTAGCCTCTGGTTCATAAGGCGGTGGAGCGCGATATCTAACATGGCGATTTTCGAAAAAAAAAGAGAATATAAAACGACGGAAGGGGGTGATATAAAATGTTTCCACGTTCAGGGATAGATTTTTGACCGGGGCATCCGTCTATGCTAAAAAGATCCGAAACTTATGTGAAATGACGAAAATATATGCTCCAGACGATCTCAGATCGTCTGGTGGCCGTGTGGAGACGATCTAATTTTCGAAAAGGTATTACTTCACATAAGTTTTCAAATCTCTTTACATGATCCTTACATAATCCGCAAATATTTTTCTATGTATACAGTCCAAGTTTCGTGTCATATGATTGTGTGTGCGCTGTAAACAAGCAATTTGTTTATTTTAGTCTTGCTTTCAAATCGCGCGCACTTTTCGCAAGACACGATAGAGCACGTCTACCGTGCAAAAACTTGTCTTCAAACCTTGTGTTCAACCTTATGTCTATTCCTGGAGCCCAGAAGAAACTGAAAATTTAGATTCGGGTGCTTTTCCATGTTTACGCTGCATTTTTGGCTCCGATATATTCGAAGTTTCTCCACATTGGCGTGCTGCTGTTGAAAGAACTAGTCTCGTCAAGCGATTTTCACACAAGACAAAGGTGTGGTTTATGTTTGCTGTTCTTTGCAAGTAACGAGGAATATTTCTTAACTGCCATAACCGTGTCAAAGGCTATCGCTTATTAATCAATCCGCAAAAGGTAAGAAGTTTGTTTTTCTGTTTTTAGCAAAGTTCTCCCTCAAGCTCCTGTTGTATGTGCTAATTTGTGATTACCGACTAAACATTCGTTACTTGCAGTGTATCATCTGATAGGCTCAATTCTAGGGCCACGAAGTGCTGGCGTGAGAGATCATGATCTTCATGTTGAAAACACTCACCAGTAGAGGTCGATCTAGACTATTTGGTAGAGGTTTCCATCGCTCCTCTAAAAGAATGCGGTGCTAAGCTAGCTGAAGTAAGTAATCTCTTATGCTATAAGATATTGTTGATCTCAGAAATTTCAGGTTCCCCCTTGTGCTTTGGACCTATTTTTACCTATCTCCTTGGAACTCTCCTAGTTGGTGGTGCTTCGAATCTTGAAAAGTGTAGGCAGTATATGATCGAAGTGGCTAATCGCAATGATGTCAAGCTATGACTTATGTTATATCTGTGATTATGCTACTTCCAATAAACAAATGAGTCTGTTTAGGCTTACTTTGCTCTTCTTGAAGGGTTGGATCTTCTATCAAACGAATTACGTATGCCTTATCCTTCGAGGATGCGATATTTGTGAGAACGAAGTGGGTTTTTTACGGTTATCTTAACACTTTCTACCAAGTTACTATGCGAGTAGCTGCGTAGATATGAAACTTCATTATATTTTCTTCACTTTTGATTCATTGTGTTAGACTGAAGTTTTACAAATTTATTTTTATCGGCGTCCCCTACATCAGTAAAAATGGTCATTTGTTTTTTCCTTTCAAAAGCATGACCAAATCTTCATCCAAACTTCTAGTAATGCGTAGGATTGTGTTTAGGTGTGCACAAAATGGACCTCTGAGTTTGAAAAGACTCAAATCAGTACGAGGACATCCGCGGTGAAATCATTGGCGAGTTGACGATAGCGTTGAAGAAGGTCGACGATGAGGAAGGAAGTGTTCGTGAAGTCGATGAAGAAGGCTTCCACCTCAAGCACATTTTCCACGCTTGTCTATGGGTCCAGCAATACTTTACGAAATCAGCGATCCGTAGGTTTACTTTTGTTTTTGTTACTCTCGTTTGCTAAAATACTTGTTTAGAACACTGCAAAAGGATTCGCTTGTTTCTTCGCTAGTGCTAATCCACAGTACACCCTCTTTGTCATCAAATTCTTCACTCTAATAGGTCTGTGGACCAGCGTAAGTGGTTACAATTAGGTTCAGATTTTTGTACTTTCGACTTTTCACTAGTAAATTTCACTACTCCAGAGTTGACATTCCTAAGAAATTTTCTCGAGGAGGCAAAGAAAAAGAAAAAAGAAAATTCTTTACTTGAGTCCCCCACTGTTTTCTCGGTTTTTTTCCTCAGATGACTCCGACGACAGAGATAACGATGAATGTGATTATTTGAACAGGAATCACGTGTTATTATGAGACTTCGCCAGTTGTGCTAGATATCTTGCTTAACGAGGGAACGGCTGGCAGACTACTTCGCTTGTGATGCATCACAATTTTTTCCGGGGCTCAGCCTCAGACCCCGCGAAAACGATACCCTCTTTGCTTTTTGCTCCGAAAACGAAGTCCAGCCTGCTTACAAACGATCGTGCCGGGCCCTGTTCTTGGTACAAACGTCTTTGTAATGGCGGAATTTCATAAGTCTAAAACAACAACACAGTCGTGTGAAGGCAAGTTTTTAGGAAGCCAAACTGAGCATATGATAGATCCAAGCTTGTGCGTCGGTGGGCGCACTCATAGCGCCACTCTTTACGGATACGTAATCCATCCTGTCCTTTGATGCATCAAGTAAGTGACAAACACACACACACACACACACACACACACACACACACACACACACACACACACACACACACACACACACACACACACACACACACACACACACACACACACACACACACACACACACACACACACACACACACACACACACACACACACACACACATACATACACACACACACCCACACACCCACACACACACTTTATCTCTTCCTCAAATGATCGTTTGCACCGCAAAGGTTGTAGCAACTTTTCATAATTATTAGGTTGTAAAAAAAGTTCTCGCGGACTTTCAGAAATTTCATTTTCGAACGCATTTTTTCGGCGCTTGGTCAGAATTTGGCACCAAGTTTTTTATACTATTCAGTAGAGGGAAGCCTAAAGTTTTCAATACGAATTCTGATTTTCATAAATGCCGAGAGGTGATTGATCTGCACATCGAGAAGAAGAATCTCTCCAACCATAAAAATTCCACAAGTTTCCTTCCTACAGTCATTTTTTTGTGCAATATAAAGAATTTCGTCCAAAACATGGATGATCTGATTGGGAAGCCTGTTAACTTCTAAGCGTAGCTGCACTCGAGTTTTGGGATTTGCGCTTAGAAATCAAAAACTGTCAAACTTGCCTCTGACTGCAACTCTTCTCGCAGCTGGCGTCACTTCTGCGGGGATCGCCACGCTTGATGATGGGTCCAAAAGATGTGTAAGGCATTACCCCAACAATGTTCGCAGTAATTCGCAGTAATCAAAGATTTGGTCCACCTTACGCAGAACGACAAAAAGCCATTACTCGAAAAAAGGAGCTTTTCAGAGCCAAAAATGGTCGATTGCATTGTATAACCCATTGCATGCATGACAACATGAACTTTATTCAAGAGGACTCTACAAACTTGGTGCGCTCAATCAAGCTTGGTGTGTGTGTTTTTCGTTCCGCTTTCCAATGCAACGTTTTGCTATACAATTGCACATGTTCGTTATTTCTTCGCGTCCTTCCCAGCATCGTTTTATGCACTGTATAGAATATAAGCACGCGTCAAAACTATCATTCTTGAGATAAAGCTCAACGTTCTTACCTTCAAGAAACCCTGCTCCTCTTGAGTTGATTTTCGATCATATTTGAAAACAGTAGGACTGTATACCGGATCAGGATATTCAAAAATACTAGGACGATTTACCATATCAGGACTTTGAGTACGACCATCAGGACTTCGGGTACGGATATTTATTCGATTACGAACACTTCCTATAGGGCGAGCATCGGCATTGGAACATAGCAAGAGTAGGAGGAATGCAATTGGCCACATATTCAACGAATTCCTAAAATAAATCCTGCCGTGCGAGTATGGATTATTATTAACTCGCTTACACGATACTGACCAAAGCTTTGTTTTTATGCAAGAAGACTAATGTGTAAATAAAAGGTCTCATTGTTTTATCCCAATCACCTCGATTAACTCAAACTGTAACGTAGGTTAACTTCCAGGATCAGGCTTGAGGTCAAACACCCCGACCTGGGTTTTTTTATTTTTGGGATATATTTTGTTGCGCTCATTAAACCTACTTTGGATCAAATCGAATAAATTTTCGATTTTTGAATAAATCATTCGAAGCTATTGATTTGAAAATTCGAATATTAAAAAATCTGAGATTTCAATAATATTCGATAGTCAAATATTTGAAAATTTCGATTTTCGAATATTATTCGACGATCGAACATTCAAAAAAAATTTCGAATTTCCCTAAGTATAATGGGTAGTAAGCTCAAAACATGTTGATGCCATAGCTATCAACTTGGTTTTTCAATATCCTCTTATTCCTTTTCTGGGGAAATTATGGCTTGGGAAATTTAACGTTAAGAAAAGATTATTTTTCAAATATGCTGCTTGTACCGTGTAGTCGAGTACAGTCACAGAAAACTGTGCATACAGACTCAAACTCCTTAATACAAGTTGATTTCATTCGGTTGTCATATGACGGGGTTTTGAAGTTGAAGAGGAGAAGGTAAGGGTTGTGAAGGTAAGTGGTAAAGTCGTTTTTGAGCGATGCGTGCCTGACCATGGTTATTTCTTTTTACAATGAATCAAGATAGACTAAACCGTCACATCGCACAGAGTACAGCTAAGTTTTGCAAGCAGTTCATTTTGGTTGTTTATGTTTAGGATTCCATTCGACATAGTGGTTTATTTTGAGTGACTATAGAACCGCAGATGTAATCAATAGCAATCAAATCAAGACGATTTCGGGCATCCAGCATTACAAGGGGGGGGGAATGGTGGTCACCAAAAAATCATAACTTCCTTGCCACTCGATTTTTTGACCTACCCTTTGCAACTGTGAGAAAATGTGTTGTTTGGACGTCTCTGTGCGAAATTATGAATATCGAGTTCATTATGGAAAACGCCAAAATTGATTAATTTGTCAATTTTCGCAAAAGTTGTAACTTTTCACAGAGACGTCCAAACAGCACAAACTCTTCATAGTTGCAAAGAGTAGGCCAAAAAACACATGTACTGACGATTTCAGATTTTTCTGCAGCATTCCAGATTTTTGGTGTAACTCAAAATGGTCAAAGCTTATGTGGTCTTGTTTCCATTTTTATCTCCACATCCAGTGTGAAACAAAAGCTCTTCAAAACAATGAGTGAAAGCGGAAGACCTAATCTTTATAATAAAATTACCAAGCAAATCCGTTGAAATTTCGCGAAGTTACAAATTTTTGAAAATGAAACGACAGAACACTCGGTTCAACCTTATATACATTAGGCCGTTCCGAAGTCGTCAAGTTATGAATTTTTGAATTTGGTGCGAAAGAACTTTCGAGACGACCTAATATTAGGCCGTGTTCCGAAAGTAATGTCGCTTTATTCAAATGAACGCCACATTTCACGGAATCAAAATTTTCAGGGGATTTTAGGAGCATTCGATGCAGCATTTCATCCTCTTTTTAACGGCTGTAATTTTAGCGCATAATATTCAATGAGCTCTCGAAAAATTACTAACATCTGCGAGTCTTGTTCTTTGCCATGGTCAAATTCGGCTATTTTTCTAAATTTTTGTTCCTATTCTCCGAAGAAGTGCAAGTGACAGGTAAGAGAGCAAGCTTCATAGGACAAAGTGTAATTTTTTCTTTTCCTTAGCTTACTTCTCAGAGTTACTACAATCAATTTCTCAATGCCATTAAATTCCATATTTAGTCAAGTCAAACCTCACAGAGCAACAACGGCAAGCGAGGTGTCATTCGACGCAGCTTTTTCTCCTCTTTCTATCAGTTGTATTTGTTTCCGATTTATCAAGTTTTTCGGGATAAAATCGTCATAATTCAGGATTTCCAGGGCACCCCAGGCTGTACCCGGAATTTTCGAAAGTTGCTAATCTGAAGCGGTGAATGCTCATTTGGTTTGTAAATTAGTGTCAAACTATAAACCATCTTTGTAAGTTTCAAAATGCAAAAACTTATTGGTGTATGATGCTTTTGTGTCTGAGTCAAGCCTGCGAAATTTCGGTTGTCTCACCAAAAAATCTATACGAAAATTATGGCGAGCTCTGTAAAATAGAAAAAAGTTGTGCGGTTTCCTGTGGGGTTTGCTCTATCCATCTATTACTTGGACTCCTTCCGAGGGTTGTTGTAAAAATTTAGAAAAACTGTGAAACTTTTCTTTCTCAAAAAGCATAGGTCGCAGATTTGATTTTTCCGAGCGGTTATTAAATTTTTGTGCAGTGATAGTATAACCATTAGAAAGAGAATCCGAGAGGTGACGTACATTTGAAAAAAGCGACATTACTTTCGGAACGACAATATATACAGGGTGTCCCAAAAAATGTGCACACTGTTTGAGTGTAGATAACTCACTTGTAATGATGTGTTTCGAGAAGCCTTAGGTACCATTTTGTAGAGCGAGGTTCAACTTAGATTTACAGTTTAGCGCAAATCGCCGATCTCTCATTCTTACTGTAAGATTACGGTAGATACTTCAAACATATGGTGTCACTGTGAAAAAGTGGCCATTTTTAAATAAATTCAAAAAAATGTGGAAACTTGTGTAATGGGGTTTTCATGGACGCTGAGTTCAATACTCAACTATTCGCAACATTGCGAAGCTTTCTAAACGGTGTAATCGCACTTTTTAGGAAAATTGAAAAATTGGCCGCTTTGCTTACCTCGCATAATTTTTTTAATGAACCATTACGAAAAGTTGCGAACATTAGCAACTTTAATTAGTTCAGCGTGAGAGTTCCCAGGTTTTTTGGTTTCTTTTTGGAACAAATTATAGCCTTTCATGGCTCAAAACCCTCTTCTACCGTAATCCTACAATAAGAATGAGAGATCGGCGACTCGCGCTACACTGTAAATCTAAATTGAACCTCGCTTTACAAAATGGTACCTAGAGCTTCTCGAAACACTTCATTACAAGAGAGTTATTTATAATCAACCGTGTGCACATTTTTTGGGACACCCTGTATATTAGGCCGTTCCGACAGTTCTGCCGCAACGAAAAAATTCATAACTTCTGATCTTTCCAACCGATTTGACTGCTTTCATTCTTGTATGAAAGAGTAAGTCATGCTCTCTATAATGACGTTTTAGCTGCTTACTAATATCATCTTTTGCATAGATAGGAGCGATAGAAAAAAATTGATCAAAATTTGAATTTTTCGTGTAAGGTCGTAAAAAATCGAAGACTTGCAACAAAAATCGGAGCAGTCAGTATTGTAGGTTCCTTCAGCAGCTCTTTCTAAAGGCGTTTTTTTTTACTTTTCTAAAGTTTGCGCCGATTGAGCTTCTCTGTGAAAAGTTACGATTTCCCTGAAAAATGCCAAAATAAATCAAATTTGCCCTTTTGTATTGCTTACTCGAAAATTGTAACTTTTAATAGAGACTCTCAATCGGCGCAAACTTTGCACAAAAAAGAGCTGGTGAAAGAACCTACAATACCGAATGCTCCGATTTCTGTTGCAAGTCTTCGATTTTTTAATGACCCTACACGAAAATTCAAATTTTCAGTGCTTTCGGTTTTGAGCTTCTACAATACCGCTCACAAAATGTGCAAAATTTCCGTGAATATCGCGAAATCCCGAAGATTCCACGAAATTCCTGGAATTTCGCGAAACTTCGCGAACTTTCCGAAACTTCGCGGAATTCCGGGAATTTTGCGATATTTACGGAAATTCTGCACATTATGTGAGCGGTATTGTATCTGGCCGATAAACTGATAAATCCGTAATTTTCTCATATGCTGCTAGCAGATGAACATTAAAAAAGGCTTGTGATTGTTTTCATTCAAACCTTCATGCTGAAGTGATCTATAAGCTTTTCCACAGTTATGACAATACCATACAGTTATGACAGTGGAATGTGAAAATTTTCGGCGAATGTCGGCGCAAAGTCGCCTACTTCGCCGACATCGCCGAGAATTTTCACATTCCAAAGTCATAACTGTTCGAATGCATGTATAAAGCAAATTTTTTAGTTTCCGCTTACATGGATTACTCGACGTGCTAACAACATTTCCTACATGGTTTGGTGCTGGTGGCACATTATAGAATAGAATATCTGCCAAATTACACGACTTTGAATTTGAATGACAATTTATGAGAAGGCGATTTTGTAACATCATAATCTGACGAACAATGCAGATAAAGATCTGCGCTAAGCATGGTCTGGTAGAGGTGTTCACAAAGTTTTGAAATCACAAAAATATGCAGACAATTTTCGCAATAGATAGGCAAAAAGTGTAGGGGAATTAGCGATTTTGATGTGTTGAGCCACTTCTAACTCACATTAGCTTTACTGTAATACTCTCTAGTGCAAAATAATTAAAATTTTTGTAATGATCAAAACCAAAACCACTATGAGCGAAGTTTCCGGTCAATCCGAGAACCTCAATATTTTGACCAAATCTTGCGCCGAGGCCAAGAGTGAGGAGCGAGAACGTTAAATCAGTGTGTATTGCTTCTAAGAAGCTGGAAAAAATGGGTTGTATAGGTATGAGAGAGGTGTCTAACATGATTTTTGGGGGAATTACGGAGCAACTTTGGGAGAGCCGATTTTACGATTTTACGGCCTGAGCATGCATGTTGGGGGGCCAATAACTCTGCGAATATTACAGATATGAGGCTGGAGTTTGTTTTATTGGGCAGATTTCTAAAAATTTGATTTTTAGAGAGGAGGTCGTAGAATAACAAGTTTTCAATAAAAGTGCCTAATTGGCAGCTGAACTTGGGAAATCTGTCAATAAAAGCGAATTTGCGCCCTTATATCTCTGCAAGTTGTAGGATTGGGGTAACCACATATACTGATATGTACTTTTGATAGCTCTATTTTTCTAGGGGTAGATCATGGCTGTTG